TTTAGGGATAAAATCTCACATCGAATAAAGATGAAAATATAGACTAATTTATAAGGGTATGAGATAGTCCTCTTAACAATGTTGACATTTTAAGATGGAATCCAAATCTTAACACAGTTTCAGAGTTCATTAAGCTCCAACGAACAATTCGATCTGATTAAGACTAAAAAAAATTGAGCAAACGGATTTCAAGATTGATTGCTCAAACGAGTCATTATCTTAAGGAAGGACATGTCTAGTTGTTAAGTGGTGTTTTTCCAATTAAAGTTTCTGCAAAATCTCGTGTTAAATTCTCAATCTTTGTTAGTGTGTTAACTTTGAACTGCAGAAACAAGCCGCGGAATATATGGAAAAGCTTCGTGGGGCTATGCTAAAGTACGTAACTGTTTGACGCATGTAAGAATTTGTGCCGAGTTATTGATATTATGGTTTTCATTTTGAGGAGTAACCGGATGCTTTATTATCATATCAGATAAGTTTTGGTTGTATCGCGAATAACAATATTATAACAATTTCATAATTTTTCTTTTATAGTTTTCATAATGATAAAAACACAAGACAAGCTTATAGCAATGCAAAGCATGTTGTGGTAACCTAAATTTGCAATAACTTTTTTTGCGAGAATTTTATTTTGTGTAGAAATCAATGGAATTGGAAGTTAAGTTACATAGTATAATATTGTTTAGAACAAGAAGAATTACACATTGCATGTTTGGTCAAGGATTGTATAGCTCTAAAGAAAAAGAAGTTGAAATCTTAATTATTATTTAGTCAAATCTTATGTTACGACGCAACAAATATGCTCTACATAACACTAGAACTCACCAGAATGTTAGCTCTCTGAGATTTTATTAGTTAAAGCCATGAGTAATTACGACCATCAAGTCAATTTGCAGCTGAAATTATAAGACTTTGAGCAGGGGTAGAAAGCAGGCATCTGGAACTTTAGGCCGCCCCATTTATCAGCAGCCCAAATTAGGCTTAAAAATGAAATGGGCCAAGTAATTGGCCCAATATTGTAAAATAGGTGGATGCCATTGACCTACAGACTGCAAACCTTTCCATAATCCATTCCAATTCTTGACTAAACACATGCATGTCCCCACCGAAAACTTGAAGATTTGAATTGAAACCCCCCAATTTCCACCCAAACGGTAAGGTCCCAAATTGATGAAATTGAAGCAGTGAAGCCATGTGTGTCAATTGAAGCGGGTAATAATCAGATAATTTTTTGTAATCTTCTCCTTCTACATTTTATTTTGTTCGATTTAGTTATTGATTCAGTAAAATGTGAATGGAAAGTTGTTTTGTTTGAGCTTGATTTGCTCGAAAAATGTTCCCGGTTTGTTTTGGTCAATTCAAAAAAAAACTTGTTCAAAAACTTGTTTTGTTCGATTAAAAAAAAAATCTTCTTCTGCTACCTCTTATTCAATTATTTTGTTCGATTCAGAAAAATGTACCTAATTTCCTATTTGATTCATTTATTACTTATTAGTTTGGTTGGTGTTTTGTACATTTGTTTTGTTTGAGCTTTACATTCCAATTCAGAGTTTTACATTCCAATTAAGGACTTTAAGCTTATTAATTTAGAGTATTATACATTCCAATTCAGGACTTTATTATAATCAGTCATGGAAAGATTTTATATAAGAAAAGCTCTTGAAGTTGCGGAAAATGTTAATGAGATGATGTCAAATAGAGGCAATTCCCATTTGAATTAAGGACTTCAATGGTTTACAAGTTTTTGATTTTGGCACTAATTCTTTCGGTTTCATTTTTAGTATAATATTTGTATTATAATGATGTTATTATTATTATTATTTTTTACCTTTACTAATATCGCCTGTATTGAAAAAGTTTTCTGCGTCCGCCCACGACTTTGAGCATGTTTGGTAGCAAAAGTTGTTATCCTATAAGTTGGGAGATCCAAAAATTATGTTGACAAAAAATTGTAAGTCAACTTATAAACCAGAGTTGGATTCCAATTTATCTGGCTTATAAGTTGCGAGACCTATAGTCATGTGGGTCTTGTAACTTATAGGCTAGACAAGCTTATAATGATATTAGTAAAACCTGAATAGTTTGTTTGATAAGTTTGATTAAGAAGTAGTCCAAAAAGAACTAAAACTTCGTTTATGAAACAATGCAATCTTATCTAGTCCTAGACATAGATACATGTCCAAAAGGTGCAACCTTATGCAATTGAACAAAGGTGTGGAAACTAGATTTTCTTGGTATGAAATCGAAGTGGACCAATCTTTCCTAAATTTGAATGGGCATTTTTCCCTAATGTGGCCACAGTTTAAGACTGAATACTGAATGGTAATTTAATCGTCTCAATGCTAGATCTTTCATGTCCCATCACATGAGCAAAGGAGTTAAATAGTACAACAGTTAAAGCTTCTTCTATTGTAGGAAAAGCAACGGCAGGGGATGAGTTCCTTTGGTAGTCGTCCATTTGGAGAAGTTCATCAGATTTCGGAAATTCTGAAAAATCAGTTGTTATGATTCTTATGAATTTCAATAGTAAGATAATGACGATAATAAAATAAATAAGAAAATAAACACCAAAATTTACGTGAAAACCCAATATGGGAAAAAATCACGAGCAGAGAAGGAGAAATTCACTATAATCAATAACAGCTTTGTTTACAAGATTTCAAGACACTCAATTGAAATCTAAAATTCTCAAGATATTGTCTGAATCTCTCTTTATTATGTTCTGTTCTGTTTTTCTATGTGTTTTACACACACACACACACACACACACACACACACACACACACACACATATATATATGAGCATGTTTGAGAGTGATTAAAATTCAATTAAAATTGAAAATATAATCGTTATTGGGTTTCACTCGTGTAATAAAAGTCAACAATGATGGCTAATTTTTCAATTTTAATCTGATTTTGATCTCTACTGAACACGTCATATATATATATATATAGACACACACACCAAACCCTAGACGAGTTGTGGAAAAATAGGAGTTCAAAACCTTGTCAAAAAACGAAAACGGGCTTGGACTGGACAAGGCAGCGCCAGACGAGTGACCAAGTCTCGGGTAGTTTTCTATTGGGCTCGTTCGAGCATCCAGTTAGGGAAAATGCGACAACTTTTTCCTCCAATTCATAATTTTGATCTCTTCAATACCACTTCAATTTATATTTTAATACTCACTAGAATTTGGGTCAAACCACAACATCAATAATTTTTTAAGGATATATAGCCCATGTTTGGTGAAGATTAAAATTGAATTTTTAGCAGATTTTGATAAAAATTAATGAAATGTGCGGTTGAAAAGTTGTGGAAAAGGGAGATACAAATAAAAGAATTCATGTCACACCTCAAAAGAAGTCTAATATTTTATTTCTTACTCCACAAAACAATTATTTTGATAACATATTGACAAATAAATATTAGGTTTAAAATTTTAAATAAAGTAATTTAATACGGTGACAAAACATATAAAAAGTTCTAAGATGGCACTACCTATTTATAACAAAAAATTGTGAAACCTATCCCGGGCTCCATCCGCCTCAAATTTCGTTTCTATGTTGATGGCAGTATCGGGCATAAAACTGAGAGAACATCGAGCAATGAAAGATCGTATAGAGATTATGGAAGACACAATCGATCATCTAAGTCGTTCCATCAAGGAACTTGGGGGAATGCGATGCCGCGTTGCAGAACAAGATTTTGCGTGGCATCTCAGCAATGTGCAAACATGGGTTAGCCCACGCTAATGAACGAAAACATGTGCCTCAGACGGATTTTCGGGGCCAATGCTAAGGTCACAATAAGGAAAAAGATGCTTAGAAATCTTGAACAAGTTACTAGTAATGCACTTGCTTTGGTTAATCGGTTTGCAGCTAGACAGAGAGCTGAAGAAACCACAAATTCTCCTTGAGAAATTGAGGTCTTAGGTTGTTGGGTTTGTGTGTAAATCTTGTTACTTGTTAGTAGTTAAAATCCTCAATTATGTGACGTGCATTTAAGTTTTCTTTGTTTTATGTAATCTAGTACTTGTGTTTGGATATCACCTTACTTAACAAGGATTGTTCTATATTTTGCTCGACTGTCTTACGATCTTGATTAGTTTGTCAAGCTGGATTGAAATACACAGTTTCGCACGGATAGTCGCTAATAATTAAAAAAGAACTTCAGACGATTGTATAAGGGACAAATCTCTTGAGACAAAATCCCAAAAAGGGGTGCTTTATTGATGATAATTACAATTGCAAATAAACAGAATGCCTCTAAGGGGCGCAAGCACACGAATACTGAAAATGGATAATTAAAGTTAATCTTAGAAATTGAAATTACATATTCTCTGTTTGAGAATATTTGATTTGTGGTCCTTTTCTATATGTCTATTCTTCCTTTTATATTCTCATGATAATTTTTTCATGACAAATCACTTGGAAACTGCTTAATTATTTTCTAACTACTTATTTTCTTCATGGTAGCTAACTTGTCGTGAAACTGTCATCTCTAACTATTGTCATTACTCTTTGTCGTGCAACTGCCTTTAAATGGGCTCCTTAAATTGTGGAATATGATAATCGGCTCGATAACTGTTTCAGTAACTACTATTCTAGATGACCATAATATCTCATTATTAAAGTTCTGGACGACTCGAAAGTTCGAGCGAAAACGAAGTTGTCGCTCTGAGTGATCGGGAGGCACTCCATTCGCCCAAATTCTGGGCGTCTTGCATGATTGAGCGATGATGTTACTGTGTTCGTGAGTTTTATCTGTATTCACCAATAACCTTATTTGGGCATTCATTCTGAACTCTCCAATTGGGCTTCACTCTTTGACCTATTCAATTTGAGCTGTACTTTTAGTGTGTCAATAGACTCAATTGTCTTGCTCTTATACGATACAATAAAAATATTATAGATTTTGTCCTAATTTTCTTGTTAACTTCATATTGCTAATAAACATGATATTTTTCTCACCCACAACTTCTTGAGTATAACTACCAGTACTATTGGTATTTAGCTTCAATATATGTGAAAGGAATGAGTCCACGAATTGAATTATTCTTCTTGGCCCGGCTCAAAGCCCGTGCCAAGAACAGGGCGCCTTGGCCCTTGCTTTGAGCCGAGCCAAATAGCATCTCTCCTACAAATTTACATTTTGATAAAAGCCTAGGAATGGAAAAAGAAAAAAGGGCACAGATGCACATGGTTCCAACATAATAAAGAAGGAAAATGCTAGATGTACTCCATATAATTCAGTAAAAAAAATAAATAAATAAATAAAGCAAAATGCTAGATGTACTCCATGAATTACTACATGGAGTACATCTTGGACAAGTGGCGACCTCCTATTGGAGGGTCGGCTGTGGGGCCTCGGCCCCACAGTCGACCCTCCAATAAGAGGTCGCCACTTGTCCCTTAAGTCATCCATGTAGTAATCCATGGAGTAAGTGTAGCATGGTCCAATAAAGAATACCTTGGCGCTCTGTTCTTGCCTCAGGCTTTGCTTTGAGCCGAGCCAAATAGCATCTCGCCTACGAATTTACATTTTGAATAAAGCCTGGGAATGGAAAAAAAAAAAAAAGAGGCACAGATGCACATGGTTTCAGCATAATAAAGAATCAATGTACGTGAAATCTCACGAAAAAGGATTTACCCACTTGTACATAATTTTTTGATATCCTACTTGATGATGCAGTGTTGACAACAAATGATTGGACAAAAATTGACACTTTTTAAACCATCTATTGACAAAATATCACATGGCAACCTGTCAAGGAAGTGCACAAATAATTTTGTACACCAAACATGATTTGCACGAATAAATACAACTAGCCCCACAAAGTGACTTGCATATACCGCGTGAACCCCAAGTGACAATAAAGCATATCTGGACCAACATATACAGAGTTGAGATCTTCTGTTTAATTTTTATTGACCAACTTACTATCTATCAATTAATTACTGATACATCATTTTACATTAAAATGTCCATATTTTTAAACATAAAGAGTAGTTAGAGAAAACGTAGACATTAATTTAAAATAACGTGTCAATAATTAATTGAATGAACAACAAACTCAACATCAAAAATTAAACGAAATAACTAAGCTCTACCTATACTTCCTAACAATTTGTTGCTGTTAACACCTATTTTGGGTACCCCAATCATGGTAATACTCACAAGTAGGAATGGTATTTTTCTCGAAATCTCCTGTAATAAAACAAAACTATTTTTTTTTTCCAAACTCATCTTCAAACCAAATATTCTCGTAATAAAATATTCTACACATAAATTCAAAACTTTTTCATATTTCTTAACAATACATTCTTCGAAAAATCACTATTCCAAAATAACTCATTTTCATGTCTGTCAAAATAACCCATTTTAATTTTTTTTTACTACTGCTCGATAAATCAAGAATGCAAGCATTGCCCAGTTTAAACACTAGTTAAGGAGTGATTCATGAAGGCACAAATCATATTTCCACTGAAATCGACCCGGTTAACCAATGAGCATTCAATAGCATTTAGCCTGAAAACCCCCAGGGATTAATCAGAACACGATCAATAAAACATTTTTTTATGAGAATCCAGAAAGAACATGGACCAATTGACAGCATATCACAGAAGGAAAATACCAAAATTATCAAAATGTAAGACCAGTTGTATCAAACTATTCCATTCCACTACACCAAATGGAGATAATATAGTTTATTCTCTTTATTTTCAGTTCTCCTCATCGCATTTGAATGATTCCTGCACTGACCAGTTTCTGTATCTTGTTCATAACAAGAGGATTCTTCGCGTGATCCTGCGCAGCCTTGGGATTTTCTTGGAGATCGACTAAGACCTGTTGCCATATACAATGTAGTTATAATCATAGGATTCATTTCTGGTTTTCTATAGATATCTGACAGTTGAGAATTCAACATGTTATACCTGTTGCATCACTGGATCCTTCAGAATGTTCTGAATCTCCGGGTCCTGCATTGCCTTGGCCTGCAAAAAGCAACGCATTAAATCTGTAATTCAAACATAGCTCCATAAAACGATATCAACACAAAGAGAAATATATCAAACCTGTCTCTCTTTCAGTTCCTCGGGGCTCAAGTCTCCACGGGTAGCCTTATTTATCTGCTCAACACATCTGTACAAAAAAACTCACATTAGTTAGGTGCAACCCTAAACAATGTTTTCATTTATTAAAACTAAACTGAAATAAATATTAAAATGTTCCCTATACCTTCTAACACCATCCAGCAATTCTGGGTTCCGGGGATCATGCTTTAGTCCTTCCTGGTACGTCTCCAAAGCCTTTTCATACTCTTTCATAAAAAACTGAACTGCCCCTTTTCTAGTATAACCCTTAGCAAATGTTGGATCAAGTTCAATGCATTTTTCTGCATCTTTCAGCCCCTCAGGCAGAGCCCCAAGCTTTGTGTAACAAGCAGCCCTGTTGCTATAAGCCTGCAAACTCAAAGAAGTTACCGTAAATCCACATGAACGATATCTTTTACTCAGTTTATACTTTAAAATTCAGATACAAGTAATCATATAATACCTTCGGATCTTTTGGATTCCTCCTTAGTGATTCTGTGTAATGCTTCACAGCCTCCGGATAATTTTGCTCTTTGAAATACTGGTTGCCTACAATTTGTCAACAATTTCAGTTACAGCTGCAAATGTATAAACAGTGTGAACCAATACTACACTTCAGTAGCATAATACCTTTCTCGCGCTCCTCATCAGCTATCTTGGGATCAAAATACTCTTGTTGTTCTAGTTCTTTTTTTGCTTTCTCAGCATCATTGAGCTTCTTCAATGTATCGGGGTTGCGATGCTCTGTGAGCGCTTTATGAAAAGTCTCAATGGCAGGTTCATAGTCCTTCGAACATTTTGCCACCTTCACTAAGGCAGTTCCCTTTCTTGTTAGAGCTCTAGCGACCATCTTATAGTCAGACCGCAGCTCTCTTCCTCTTTCAACAGCTTTGTCACAATCTTTAATGCAATCTTCATACTGAAATCCAGTGGCAAAGAGATGAAATGACATCATTTATGAGCACAACTGCTTAAAAGTTGATTCCACATTAAGCATGAATGAGACTTTCTCCAAAACAAAAACAGAAAGAGACCAATAACACTTCTAAGTAGAAAAGTACCAAAAAAAAAAAAAATTCCCCCACACATGGCCTATTATTTGGGCAACATTAGACAGAAATTATCTCCATATTTGTCCCAACCACATAGTCAACATAACACTTATTCTAACCCTTGTCTCTTTCTATAGGCTCTACTTTACACCCCATGCCCCCTCTTATCTTTTTTGTCTTCTTCTCCTATTCATATACAACTTTAATAAGTAGACACCATTGTATCAAACGGTTAAAGATGACATGATATTGTCACTTTAAATGCAAAGGAAGAAGCTTCTATTTTGTTTCAGATAATGCTCATGACGAATTTAAAAGACATGCTAATTATGCCTAAATAACTTGACATGTTAACTACCACATGTAACACCCCCTTCATTTCCCTTCTTCCCAAGAGAAGGAAAGGGAGAGTGCTATATCTAACCCAAAGAATTATGCAGAATCTCTAAAATGATATTCAAAACGCAAAAATACAGCTTCAACTTCTGAGGGGTCAATCTCCAAGAAGTGGCATGTTTCCCTCAGGATGCCATACCTCACCTTCATGCTGGCATGCCTCCATGCTACAGGCAAGGACAAAGAGACACATTCCATGCAATCATCCATGTCCACAATTACTACATAAGCTTGTAATATCACAGACAGACCCTGCTATTTGTTTCCGTCAAGTGGTTAATCATTTTTTAAAAATATCAGATACCAACTGAACAGTGAGGAAAAAGTTGTATCCTTTTACAGTCCTTCGAAGTCCAATTATTATACTCTTCAAGACCTTCAGTTCATGGATATAGCATATTTCCTACATGTTACTTCATTTCCAGGACTCGTGGTAGATCATAATTAGCCTAAATGAGGTACTAGCATCCATCATACCATCAAATGTTTCTGAGGCTTAGAAATCTCATCATCAAGAAATGACATGCTTGCAAAGCTTTTGGATTTAAGCACCCAAATAATATTGCCATTAATTTTGAATCAAGGGAAGGTCATTCAAGAACTAATCATCCCCCAGTAAGAATGATGATAGTAACACAACTGAATTCAATAAAGCCTTCTTCCATAATAACCAGGACTTGGCCACCAAGAACCCTTCTTATGTTTGGTTCTAACAAGAGTAATCTAGAACAGTAAATCACAAAGACTTGCATCCTTTCTAGTTACCTCATTCCATGTTCTCAGACCGTTTGGTGGCCTTTTCTTTAGAAAAACATTTTTTTAAATTGGGAGTTTTTGGAGAATGTTTGTCAAGAATGTGTGATTAACAAATAGGAAAAAGTTTTGGGTTTACATGTAGAATATTTTATTACGTGGATGTGTGGTTGAAAATGGTACATAGAAAAAAGAGTTTTAAAAGAACGAGAGACAAACAAGGGCTTAAGCTACTCTCATTTTCCAATTTTACCAGAAATGATAATTGTGACAATCCTAACCGGTCCACCTTATGGTCATTGCTAAGTATGCACAAACAATTTCAACCATCTCCCTTCGAAATTTATCTTCAACAACCATTACTATGACCATCTCACCAGTTCGTTCATTGGCTTCTTTATCTCTTCATCTTACCACCTACACAAACTGACATTCTCATGTTGCCTATACTAAATCAACATATATGTTTCTTAACAAAAACCAAAATTATTCCCCATGGGAGGTTCTATGCTCGCCTTTTCAAAAATTCTTTCCAAAACTAACATAAATTCATTGATCACTAGCAATTAATGAGGATGTACGCCAAAATTATTCCCCATGTGCTGATTAAATGTATTATCCTTAGAACCATAATCATAATTGCCGTGTCAAAACCCCACTAGCAATCAATCAAATCAGGCTAATAGCTTTCCCTAAACCCACAATGTCAACTCAAAACAAATGAAAACGGAATAATATCAAGGAAGAAAATTATCTTCCGTACTACCACAGTCCATTTAAGAACAAAACGGAGATTCAAATATATAATGTACCTTTCCCATCTCCAAGTACACAGCAGCACGATTAGTGAGGAAAGAAATATCCTCATCGTCGAGCTCAATGGCCTTTGTATAATGCTGAATTGCAGTCTCAAAGTCCTTCTTCTTGTATGCAGCATTCCCGGCTTCCTTCTCCTTCTGGGCCTGTGCCTTTTTATCCTTTTTCTCCCTCTCCTCCTCAGATAAGTCCATCGGCTCAGGTTCAGGCTCGGGTCTCTTCTCCTCCTTGACAGGGTAAGCCTCAGAAGCTGCAGGCCTCTTCCTCTCTGGTGAGCCACGTGAGGACGCCTCAGTCATTTTTGCATCTTCTTCAGCTCCCCTCGTCTGGATTTTCACGTTCAACAAAACTCCCAATGCCTGCATCATTCTTTGATCGCTCAAATACAAGTTCAAATTATTTGGATTTTTCTGAATATCCTGCAACATTTTAACAAAATCAGGCTGCTGCAGAAACCCACGAGTTGTAGGATCATTAGCCAGCTTAACCCACATCTCCGGCCCGAACGCCTCCCCAAACAGGTCAGCACCAGGCCCGGCCCGAGACCTCGAAGATCTCGCCAGAGCAGCCTCTGCATCGGCTAGCCCAGACTTAAGGGGCTCGTTATTTGGGTCAATTTCAAGACCCTTTTTGTAAGCCGAGACAGCGTCATTGTAACTGTGTAAACCCATGTGAGCCGCGCCAAGGCGGGAGTAGCCCTTAGACCAGTCGGGCTTGAGCTCGACAGTCTTCTCTGCATCCGAAAGCGCTTCAGAAAACTTGTTAAGAGAAGCGTAGGCGGCGGATCGGTTTGAGTACAGAACATGGTTGGCGGGGGAAAGATTAATGGCTTCCGTGAAGTGACTCACGGCATCGGTGAAGTTCCCGGCGGCGAAAGCTGCGTTGCCTTTGGCTTTGGCTTCGTCGGCCATTAAGTTTTGCTAATTGTGATTGAATAATGATAATTTGTGCGACTGGGTGGGGTTTCGGATTGGTTGCAGAAAATGGAGAAGAGGCGACGAGGGTTTTGAAGGGACTTCAGATGAGCGGCGATGACGGACGAGAATGTTCTAGGTAGGGGAGACCTTCTGGAACGTTCGAGGATAGGCTTTAGGGTATTTTTAAAGAAGAATTTGTAGCGGGGTTCATATTCTTTTCAAAATGTTCAATAAAGTACCCAACTTTAAATTTTGGCCGGGCGTTATGATACATAAAATACAATTAAATTGGTATATATAGTTCACACGCCTGATTTTTCGAAGGAAAAATGAGTGCAAACTTAATTTAGTTAAATAAATTACAAAAAAAATAAATAAAAGAAAATTCGTCTATTTCACAGATACCCACCCGACCTCGTCATATGACTGTCACCACTAGTTTGATTTCTCCACCCGCGACTCAAATCACAGGGATGATAATAGTGGAGATCCCAATAGTTTCACGATGAATTGGGCAACTCATTGTCATCATTAGTGTCATGAGGTATCTAGCGGCTCATAATCAAATTCGATATCATTGTTCTAATGTGATTTTGTAGAGTTACTATCCAAAACTAGAGGAACTATGTCATCATAGTCAAATATTGAGTAGAAAAATATGACATTTGTCTTGAATTTATAGCTTCATTGTTAAAGATACCATCACCAAGTCCCTTATAGTCGATGTTATGTATATTTTTCTTGACCGCGTCTTTGAGACTAGTCCCATTGTATCTATTAATTGAAGAAGATGTCATTGACCATTCCTTTTTCAAGACCACTTTGACTCAAATTCTCGAAATGGTTGATGATATTGTGCTCAATAAAAACCAATCATCTCAAGTGACAAACAAACTTTTATCATTTTTTTGTGGAGCAATCCTGAATTATTAGAACTATACATTTCAACCCCTACAATTTCTAAATGATGAAGTATGCCACTGCATTTTCTTGAATTGCAAATCAGTCCCTGAAGATTCCAAAATATGCATTTGGCCCCTCAAGTTCCAACAATCAGTAAATTGGTCCCTGAATTTTGAGACACGAGCACGTCAGCCCTTGGAAATTTGGATTTAGCGTCTCATTGTTTTCTTGTATTTGTATAATTTAAACCAAATTTATGCATGTGATGGAAAAATATATATGGGATGGTAATGATTCTAGACTACTCTATTGTCTCAACCTTTAATTGTTCTCATTTCATAATCATATATTATTACCATAATCATGCTACCCATTTATAATTAATGACTATAATTTTTATTTATTTGTCGAAGAGAAATCCTCATTATGAAAAGTATTTCAACCAAAGCACTGAGTTTTGCAATAATTAATAATCAAGCCCTCTGCAACAATACTTAAATGTAATAATTCAAAAAAATTAGTTAATTCAATTGATCGACAGTCAAACAACTTGATAATTAATTATTGCTTGGTATTCTCAATTAGAACCTACAAGTGTCGTAGTTTACGAGTAAATTTATATTTGTTATTACGAGATTAAATATTTGTTGAGTTCTACAATTACATCATGCATATCATGCATTATGTTAGATACAAAGAAATATTTATAATATTTGCTCGATTAATATCGATATCGCTAGCTTAAAAACTATCATTCCATCTCACGCTTGTTGATCAAAGTTCAATTTTTGGAAGAAATCTTCACGATTTTTTTATTCAATATGCAAAAAAAAAAAACCCCACTTCTCCACTCTCAAGCAATGTTTAAATTCCAACGAAATATATGAGGAAAAAAAAAAGAAAAGAAAAGAAACCTAGGACGGCAATCCATGTGTTTAATGTGTGACATCCTAGCCCCTGTTTGGCCCCCATTAAATTAAATTTTTGGAGGGTAAATAATTTTTAGAATAGTGATTGATGGGAGATGTGTGGTTGAAAAGTTTTTGACTTGTGTGTATTATTATTTTATTTGATGAATGTATGGCTGAGATGAAGAGAGAAAAAAAATTAATGTAATGGAATGTAATATAATGGGGGCCAAATAGGGGCCTAATGCTCTAAAACTCTCTATGCTCCTTAAATTTTATGTCCCAACACTCCTTAACCTCCAATCGCTCCATAAATGCTAATGTCACGTTAACTCATCCACTGGGGATGAATATCATTATCCTTTATATATTGACATAAAGAACATAGAAATAGCAGATGAAGAGTCGCCATTATTGATGTATACAATTGATCCATGTATGCACAAATGTAAATTTATATTTTGGTAATAAAAAGGTATGGCCTACTGCTGCTTTTGAGATTGCCTAACCTTTACTCCATTCCCATTATCAGGTGTAGTTAACTGACAATTGGAAAGCTCATATTCTAATTTAACAACATTTCTCAATTTAATCAAAACTACGCCTCGAGTAAGGCATTTAATCAAGGCATTTAATCGTTTTTTTTTTTTTTTTATCGATGCTGCCTTTCGTTTGACTAAACTTTTCTAATGTCTCGATAGGCATACCACAGCCTTGACGATCATTATTTGAAGTCATTAATGCTCACAAACGACTATCTAGTCGGCATCGATCAAGTAGGCCAAATGTTGATAACCAACCAAGTTGAGCTATTGAAAGCACAACTAAATTAGCATATGATCCATTGTATCATAATGGTGTCACTTTCACACACACTTAGATTATAAAAACCCAAATAAATATGCATTATGTCAAGAATTTATTAAGAAGTGAGTTACAAACTCTCTAGACATGACAATAAATTTTCGATATATTTAGGGCGTTTGGTATTGTTTCACTTCTTGTAAAAGAGTTTTATAAAAAAGTTACCTTATGGTAGTTTTTTTCTAAAAATTCTTCTGGTCGACTATATTTTCAGAAAATTATTGAAATATGTTCAAAGTCAACTTTTTAATCTCAAAAGCAATTTTTGACTTTTAAAAATCTTGCCAAACGGCTCGTAATTTCAAATATAGATAATACAATGCATGAAATGATTGTTGAATGACTTCACGTAATTTTTATTCCATGTTGATTACCATTTCAAATGTGAATTTGAAGTGTAAAGCCAGAGGACAAAAGTCCAACTTTGAGGTTACACAATGTTCTTACATTTATAGTATACTTAACTAGTTGGCCTTTTGTCTACCCTTCTACTTAATTGAAACGTGGGGAACCGAAATTATTACAAGTCTTTATCATATATAATTAAATTCAGCTCCAATATTGCTTGGAATTTTGATCTTCTCCACTTCCTATTTTAACATATTCCAATTTAATAGCAACCACGTAAAACTAATTTATTTCAATAATGGGACATGTATAATAAGTTTTTAACTTTAAACGGGCGTGTTTGATATGTAACATTAGACAGCATTGATAAGATATTTGTACATTTCTCGTTAATTAATTTTTCGCTGCTAAATATTGAAAATTGGCTATTCTTTTATCAATCTTGAATCCTGAGTTTAATATTATCACATGAAACTGCACCTTGAAAAAAAAAAAGAAAAAAAAAATTCTTAGAAGTCAGTTGATGATCGAGTACTATTTGTTCGTTCCATATGCATATTGATTAAAGGTTTCTAAATAAAGGGTCGTTGAAAACTATATGCAAAAGCTCATAAATATTTTTAGTAAATATTTCAATTCAACGACCTAAATAAGTGTACAAAATACACTCATCACGAATCAAATTTATTTTCATAAAATTGTATATATAAGGGTAATACGAAGATTTAAAAGTGATATTAGCGTTCTTGAAAACTAATCTTGCACTGCTAAAACAAAACATTAGCAATTTTTTTTTTCTTTTCAAACAAAAAATTCAATCAAAACAATAATAAAATTTTGGAGAGCAGTCACTGTCACGGTCCCTTGCGTCGGTTTTGTGGGGTCAAGGGCTCTTGATGAAAAATTACAGAATGGGCATCAGAACACGTTTTAAATATTAAATTGAGTGTATCCTTGGGGAAGGAAGCTTATATCTTTTTGTGCTTTGTATTAAATAAGCTAATTAAAAAAAAGCACTTTTCTCAATTAAGGACTAAAATAAGCTCTGCAGTGAGCATGTTTCACATCACTTAATCAATCAAAGAATTTACTTATGAGTTATAAAATTAAGCTTAGATTATTCGTCAATTGTATTTTATTTGAATCTTCAATAATTTTTCTCGATATTGAGTCTTTTGTACTTTAGTTTTGTAGTGCTCAAATCTATATGGACAATTTTTAGTGAAAACTTCAAGTATTATAGAATTGAAAACTAAGAAAATTAGTCGAGCATCTAAATAATACAATATGCAAAAGTTTGAAACCGCAAACGAAATTTTCTTCCAAATTTTGGAATTTTTCTTTTCTTTTATCATGATGTTACGATTTCGTTCTCTTGAGAGTAAAAAATCACATTATTGTGACCACAACTTAGAGAAATGACAATGAAAAAGTTATTATCACTAAAACCATGTATAGAGTCTAGTCCAAGATCTAAGTGTTACAAAATAAAACGATGAATACTTCGATTGTAATTATTTTCTTTTTAACTTTTTCGCCGTCTTCTTCCATTTCTAGCAAACAAGAAATAATTGAAGATAAAAAAATATAAAATAATGTTAATCTTAGTCTCATTTGCAAAACTAGGTCGAATAAAAATCTAAATTGTATAAATTTTGAACAAGTTTATTTAATATATTCGTAAATTCATCATTTTTCTCAAACCCTAAATCTTTATATAGTAGCTAAAACGAGTAAATTCAGTTTGTCTAGAATTCAAACGAGCATTCAGTTCCCAAGACTAGTATGTTCAAATAAACTACCATTTTGCGTGTTATATTAAGGTTCGTTATTTATTTATTTCATCTTTAAAGAGTGTGTGTTATTATTAGAATAAGCATATTTAGGGTGTGTTTGATCCACATTATTTTGGAAGAATGTATTTTGGAATAGTAGATTGATGGAGAATGTGTGGTTGAAAAGGAAAGAAAAATTATTGATATGATGGAAATTATTATTTTATTGAAAGATGTGTGGTTGAAAATGAGTAGAAGAATGAGAATAAAAATTTTAATGGGTACCAAATAGGGGCTTAGTTCTTTAAATATTCTTTTTGTATTTGGTAGGGTGTGCAGTCTCCTTATTAGTTTTTGATTTCTCTAAGGCTTAGTTAAAACTTAAACATTCCTTCACACTTTTCTCTCTAGCAAGCTCAATATAATACAGAAGACAGAAAGAAGGAAGAATACTGGTCTCTATCACTTGCTGGTGGGCGGTGGTGGAGGAGTATTCTGCCACCACTTTCTCCGGCGAAAAGCTTCTTCAGCAATCCAGATTTCTACTTAAAACACAAGGTGATAAATGCTCATATACAAAGAGAAAACACACAGCACACACATTGATGGAGGGGGAGAGTTCATATTCATCTTTAACTTAGCTTATATATATATATATATATATATATATATATATATATATATAGCCTATCCATTTTTCTGTCTTTTCCAACTTGATGAAAAGACATTTTTTCTTTTTCCTTTCCGGGATCTGATCACTCTTTGACAGTGTCAGAGTTTTGGAACTTGGTCAGTACAATTCCCAAGAAGAACATTTTCTTCCCTAAAATTCTTCCTTAGGGCTTAAAGTTTTGCAAGAAACTGACAAGAAAGCTTCAAGTATTTTCCTCTTTTCTTCACTCACTGTTTGTGAGCAAGAGTCGGATCGAACCGGATTCGTTTATAGACGACCATCGAGGTTTCCTCCATATCCTTTTTCTTCTTCATTCCATACTTTTCATATATATTTTTGAAATTTTTCCTTCGTTTATAGGCTTCATTCTTTAGTATATTTTATAGCAGTGAGTTTTAATTGTCTAATATAATTTTAGAGTGACATCTCCAAGATATGTAAAGTTAGTCAAGAACTTTTCCAATATTATTCCCATTTTTCTTTCAATTTCTTTGGACGTCGATCTATCCAGATCTCTCTAATTTACGAATAAATTATCCATCGATCTCAAAATATTCTGAAAGAATAAATTCTTTAGTTAAGAAATGTTAATTTTTTCGATCAATTCTGAATAAAATTGAGATTTTTGCCAAAAATTTCCATGTTTTATTTTGGCTACTTGATCTCATTAAAGTTGATTTATGATATTATTTTTCTATAGGGTTTTACTTTATGAGTGGAGCAACCATCTTTGTGTATAGTCTTTATTCACATCTCTGCCTCAAGCAAAAGCAAACTTGAGTAGTGTTACCTACATCTTCATGTAATTAAAGGTTGCATGCTTTTCCTCCATATATACAAAGAGGATTCATGAAGTACTATAAATATGAAACCCAATGTTTAATGTTGTTATTTTTTATTTTTCATTTTCATTTCACTCTCTTTTGATCATAGAATAAATTCCCTCCATGTGTTTTCCTTTTAATTTTCATTCTGCTTCAACTCGTCGGTTTTGTTCATTAGGTTTTTGGGTTTATCTCAAGATATGGAAGAAAGTTTAGACCTACATCTTCATCAACATTCAACAAAACTAAATTCACAAGTCTTTGTCTCAATAATTTAGAGTCAATTACGTGAATCTTTTTTCTCCTCTTTGTTCTCGTATTTGCTAGATGTATTGAAAGTTTAAAGCAACTAAATACTTAACAAGTATATAGTTAGATTGATACATTCCTCTATCTATTACTGATTTATGCCACCTCCGAGTTTTTGCATCCTCATTTTCATTAGGTTTGCAGAAGGGATCATTCTTCGATAGTCCATGCGTAAACTTACCTTTTAAGCTTATAGAGATTGAGGCCTCGTCTAACAAAAATGTTCATATCCGAGCAAGAAAGAGGTCGTGAATTGAAGTTTTACGGCATTTATGAAAAATTTACTTGTCAGTTATTGATCAAAATAATTCTTCTACACGTGGGAGGGCGTAATAAAGATATAAATACAAATTAAATGTATTTCTATTTAACAATCTAAAGTTTTTAACGAAGTTATTCAAAGTATCAACTTTTCAACCATCCGTGCATACGATAATAGGCTAACTATCTTCATAGACATTTATTAGTTGCATGACATCAAAAATATACATTTTTTTTTCCCCATAAATTCTCAACCTTCAGTATATAAGTCACATTCTTCTTTACTCAAAATGCAGATATAAAGCTAGATTCGAAATATGGATTCTTTTTCGACCGTACCTCCTGGATTTAGGTTTCACCCTACAGATGAAGAATTAGTTGATTACTACCTCCGTAAAAAAATTGCTTCGAAAAGAATTGACCTAGATGTCATAAAAGACATTGATCTTTACAGAATCGAGCCATGGGATCTTCAAGGTACATACAGCTTCTTTAGTTTTATGGTCATTAATTCCTTTAGTTTTTTATTTATTTAACTTTGAAAATGACATCTCATTAATCTCTCTTTTTTTTCCTGAATTTAAACAGAAATTTGCAGGATAGGAACAGAAGAACAGAATGAATGGTATTTCTTTAGTCATAAAGATAAGAAATATCCATCCGGAACTCGTACAAATAGAGCTACAAAAGCAGGATTCTGGAAAGCTACAGGAAGAGACAAGGCAATTTATTCTAAGCATAGTTTGATTGGCATGAGAAAGACCTTGGTATTTTACAAAGGCCGAGCCCCAAATGGGCAAAAATCAGACTGGATAATGCATGAGTATCGACTCGAAACAAATGAAAATGGCACTCTCCAGGCAAGTATCTAACTAATCTAGAGGTTTGATACGCGCATGGTTAAATGTGAATAGAATATTGGTACGCTAGACTCGATAATAGTCGACGGTCTTAAAATTTACATATATGATGAATGATATTATTCTCAAAATTCTACTCATTTGAACAATATAGTATAAATACATGCACATGTACAACCTTTCATAAAATTACAAATAACATTTTGAGCTTTTAGACTAGATGAATCAGCATGATTATCATGCTTATGTTCGAGTGAGAGAATATTAATGCCAAACGAAAGTTTTGAATTTGACCTGCAGGAAGAAGGATGGGTAGTTTGCAGGATGTTCATGAAGAAAATGGCGACAACAAGGAAGGAAGAAGAGCATGAATCCCTATGTTGGTACGATGATCAAGTTTCTTTCATGCCCGATTTTAATTTCTCGAGGCCAATATCTCAACCTTATACTACTTCATATCATCCTCACTACACCTGCAAACAAGAACTCGAGTTGCAATACAACATGCCTCATGATGCATTCTTCCAGCTTCCCGAATTAGAAAGTCCGAAAGTTCCACAATCCACAGCCAGTAGCTCGATAATCCCTTGCGGTGTTTTGCAGTTCTCATCACTTGGACATGAAGAAAATGTGCAACAAAATAATCAATTGCACATTAGTGAGATTTACAGCAATGATCAAGCTGCAGTGGATCAAGTAACTGATTGGCGAGTGCTCGACAAATTCGTTGCATCTCAACTTAGCCAAGATGATGCTACAAATGATAATGCCTACTCGACTGAGCCGTCAGATCAACTTTCTGACCAAAATGAGCATAATGCATACTGATTTGAAGGCACAAAGTATGGCTGCAGAACTTGCCCTAGCACCTCCAGTTCCCAAGTTGATCTGTCGAAGTAACAACATTAATATCAAGAAAGAACAGATAATAGATGGAAAAAAGAATATTTTCTGGTTGATTTACATAATAAAACTCGATCAAAATCAATTCTGCGATATACCTCGGTTATGATCAGATCTAGTAGACTTGCCAATATGTATGTGCACATTGTTGTAAAGCATAGTGCTGGTGGCACATCTATGAGACTGATGAATATGTATTTCCTTTATTGTATCTCAGGATTTATTTTTATTAACTTCACTTTTCTTTTTGGGTTCGGTGAGGATTAAAATTAGGGCTAAGCTCAGCCAAGAAAACGGTGCATTGATGAAAGGATTTTTATATTTAGAGAGGTTTTGGTATGAGCAGTTTCGACGGAGGTTATGTGAATTGTTTTTGTAAATAATCCTTCGTGAGACTCTGATACCATGAGATTTTCGAGAATAATTCACTTTCCTATCTTAGTTTGATCTTACTAGAATGAGCGTCAATAGCAATGGAAATGTACTGATGGACCATTCGTAGTGGATGAATACAATGGAGATAGACATTGAAAGATCAGAAAAGAAATGAAATATCTGCAGAGAAATGATAGCTTCCTAAGCGTATAAACCTCAAAATTTTAACGACAACAAACTACAATATTAAGATAATGTTGATCTTGTATATCCCTTAGATAGTCATGCAACTAAGTTCTCGCAGAGAGGAGAATTTTGGTTTTCTGAACCTTCTTAGTGACCTTTTTTCTATTTTTCTAAATTTTTATTTTTTAATTCAAAACTCCATTAAGGTAAAGTATATATTGATACCTACTAAAAAGAAAAGTAAATTGCAAATGTAAGAGGGGAGGTGTTAAAATTTCTCAATAAATCATATTCTTCCATCTTCCATATATGCACCCAAGAATTTAACTCTGTTTTCTAATTATTCAAATCAAACATGGGATAAAAATATAAATTACGAAACTTTGTAGATCAAAATTAAAAAATTCGAACAGATTGAGACAATTATAGGGGAAAGTTTGACCTACTTGCCACCTTAATCTTCATTCATAAAATCATATTTCAAAATGTTAGGAAACAAACAAGATACCAGAATTCGCTCTGATACCACTTGTTGAGAATCCGACTAAATAATT